CCGCGGGCCCCCGGCTGGGAGGACCACAGGGGCGCCCGGCGGGTGCTGTTTTTTGCTACAAAGCAGGTCGCCCCGGAGGCGCCGCGGGAGCAGCACTCCGCCAGGGGCCAGGGCAGAGCTTAGGGCCCGGCTGCNACTCCCGCTGGGAAAGGCAATAGTGCTGCGGTTCTGAGCCCAGATCCCGGGGACTGCGGGCGTCGGGAAGGCGCGCGCCTGCCGGGGCCGCCCTGGCTGCACCCCGGCCCTACCTGCCCCCCCGCGATGCCACGCCGGGGCGGGCGCTTTGCGGGCATCGCTCTGACCCAGTCCTACCGCCTCCCTGCCCGTCTGCGCGTGAGGAACGCGGAGCTGAGCGCGCAAGCGATTGCCCAGGGTGAGCAGCTGAGCGGCTGGGACTAAAGTGGGGGCTGACTTCAAAGTCCCCCCTTTCTACTGCCCCGGATTCCTCTCATTTGTACCCTCCAACCCCTCGGTCTGCTCACCCAGCTCAGGCGTCCCCTTGCACACCCAGGTCTTTTCCCTCCTCCCTGTGTATAGCCGGGCCTAGTTTTCTGGGGCTGAAACGAGGACCTAGTGCAAAAGACGAAGTTTTCTAATAAATAAGTTTATAAACCAGAACTTTTAGGTGTATATTTAGTATTTCTAAAATTTAACAAATCTTAAGAAAAGAATTTTTTTTAATTTGATTTTTCCCTCTTAATGTGTCTTTGGTAATTTGATTGTTAGTCCAGTCAGAACTTAAAAGGTGGGAGGAAAGGACTACAATTTTTTTAGCCCCCACATGTGCTAGTGATGGTCCTTAGCACAAACAGGAAGACCAGAAGCTGGAAACCTAATAACCAAGCAATGCTTCTCTTGGTGCAGGATTGAGAGGTGACTGGGGAAAAGTAGGGGGAAGCAAAAGAAGCATATTAGGTGAGATTTTCTAGGGATGTTATGGTTTTATACGACCATTTCAGTATTTATGTATCATCACTGGGGCAGATCTGAAGCTTATACAACTCTGGATGTCCCTTTTTAAGAAAAAGAATATAAAATATGAATGCAAAAATTTTAGGGTCCTCACAAGCACAGGCCGGCACCAGTACAGTACCTGAAGCCTTAAACTTCAATAGCGTCAATGGTAAATCTGCCTGATTAGCGTGTCCTGTTCTTTAAAGCAAAAGCCTAGCCCGGCCAGGCGTGGCTCAGCGGTTGAGCATCGACCTAGGGTCCGGGCAATCGGGGTTCAATTCCCGGTCAGGGCACATGCCCAGGTTGCGGGCTTGAACAATGACTCTCTCATCTTTAATGTTTCTGTATGTCTTTCTCTCCCTCTCCTTTCCTCTCTCTGAAATCAATAAAGATATATTTTTAAAAAATAAAAATAAAAATAAAGCAGAAACCTAAGGAAAGGAGGTGTGTAACTCAGTGCCACTGTTTGATCGCATTTTGGAATCCCTCCTACTGTGAGATAATTAAGGACCAGAACCACCTTTTTATCATTCTTGCCTAACAGCTGATGGGAGAGAAGGAGGGAAGCTGGAAGGGAGACCATTTATAAAGAAACAGTTTTTTTTCTGTTCTGTTTTTTCTTTTGATATCATGTCTATCATCAACCTCAAACTTTTCCCTTTTTTCACCAAAGTTATTAACTAACCTGATGATCCACCTCACTTCTAGGCTTAGTCTCTAACCTATTTCTTAAGTAACCCCATAAAGAGGAATGATTTCCCACTGCAGGAGATATCGAACAGGTAGATCGTTATACATTAGGTGTGTTGACTTTCAGTGTACTTGTCTAAATGCCAACTTCTTGGATGTGGAGAAAAGTGTTCTCATAGTGTTATAAATTGGTAAAATCATTCTAGCTATGAATTGAACTATATATAAGCTTTAAATAAGCCTAGCTTTTAACCCAGCACTTCTAGCAATACACAGTGCAGAGAGATTCAGACAACTGCTCCAATCCAGCCTCCACAGTCACGGCTCCTATAGAATCTCTCCATTCTATCAAATAGGAAATGGTGGTTATCTATGATATGATCCTGCTTTGTCTTCTGTAAATGCAGATTAATGACTTTGGAAGATTCATTGCCTCCAGCTAAACAACTAAAGGCCTCATTAACTCTGCTCACTTTATTCAATTAAAACTTTTTTTAAAGAGAAAATACACACAAAAACAAAAAAGAAAGCCCCACAAGACTACTCTACATCTAACAAACATCTTCCTCGCCAACACTCTATTTTTTTTTTAATATATCTTTATTGATTTCAGAGAGGAAGGAAGAGGGAGAGATAGAAACATCAATGATGAGAGAATCACTGATCGGCTGCCTCCTGCACACCCCTGCTTGGGGACCGAGCCTGCAACCCGGGCATATGCCCCAACCGGGAATCGAACCATGATCTCCTGGATCCTAGGTCGATGCTCAACCACTGAGCCACGCCCGGCTGGGCTCCAACACTCTAATAATGGAAACATCTAACATTGACCCAATATGTACGGTGCCGGACACTGTTGTTTTGGGACATGTGAGAGCCCGCTTCACTACCCTACAGTCCTCTGAGTAAGGACTATTGCTTTTATCACGCCCATTTTACAGGTAAGGAAAGGGAGAGACCTAAAGGTGTTAGATAACTTGCGCAAGCTCTCACAGCTAGTAAAGAGAAGGTTGGGATTGTGGACAAAAAAGGGGGCACATACTAAATCTGACAAGCTCAGGGGAAGCCTGCATGGCAGCCTTACAAACCTGGAGACCTAAGTAACCACATAGGATGGTCTGAAATGAAAACTTTTCTTTTTTTTTTTAATATATCTTTATTGATTTCAGAGAGAGGAAAGGAAAGGGATAGAGAGATAGAAACATCAGTGATGAGAGAGTCATTGATCGGCTGCCTCCTGCACACCCCCGACTGGGGATCGAACCTGCAACACGAGCATGTGCCCTGACCGGGAATTGAATCCCAATCACCTGGATCCTGGGTCAATGCTCAACCGCTGACCCACGTCCGGCCGGGCTGAAATGAAAACTTTTTAAAAGTGAGTATGGTGGATAGTTGTGTCCTAGGCAGAGATTTTCCTTTACAAAAGTCAGTCTTTATCATAGAAGCATGGAACAGACCGATGAATCTCAGAGGGAAGGCAGGGGCAGGTGGGTGGATGGGGAGACATTAACCTAAGAATTTATATGCATATATGCATAACCCCCCATGGATACAGACAATGGTGTGGTGAAAGCCTGGTGGGAGGGGTGCAGGGGGGAGGGGATCAATGGAAAAAAGGGGACATTTGTAATACTTTCAACAATAAAGACAACTTTTTTTAAAAAATATATCCCCATTGATTTCAGAGAGAGGAAAGGAGAGGGGGAGAGAGAGAGAGGCAGAAACATCAATGATGAGAGAGTCATTGATTGAGCCCACAACCTGGGCATATGGCCTGACCAGGAATCGAACCCCAATCGCCTGGATCCCAGGTCGATGCTCAACTGCTGAGCCATGCCCGGCCTGGCAAGATGAGTTTTTAAAAAGTCAATCTTTACCTTAACTAAGCCTATTTTTTTTTTAATGTAAGACATAATTTTATTATTTTCACTACTGAAAGGAAGGTAATCTTAATATATGCATTCTTTTTCTTCTTTGTTGAAATTTGTAGACAGCATTTCTTGTATGCAAAAGGTTTCAGTAAGACCCATTTTTTGGTACTTTGAAAAGTTGGTTAGACCTAGCTGGTGTGGCATAGTGGTTAGAGCGTTGGCCTGTGGACTGAAGGGTCCTGGGTTTGATTCTGGCCAAAGGCACATACTTCTGTTGCAGGCTGGAGGCAACCAATCAATGTGTCTCCTTCACATTGATGTTTCTATTTCTCTCTTCCTTCCACTCTCTGTGAAAAACAATGGAATAAATATCCTTGGGTGAGTATTAAAAAAAAAAAAGTTGGCTTTGCTCTTGTTCTTGAATAAACTATGTCTCCTACCTAATTTGTTTTTTAAATATACCTTTATTGATTTCAGATAGAGGAAGGGAGAAGTAGAGAGAGAAACATCAATGATGAGAGTCATTGATTGGCTGTCTCCTGTACGACCCCTACCTGGGATCAAGCCCTCAACCCCGGCATGTGCCCTGCGTGGGAATCGAACCTAGATCTCCTGGATCCTAGGTCAGTGCTCATCCACTGAGCCACGCCTGGCCAGGCTTACCTAATCTTTTTTATTTCAATTGTTCATTTGCTGAGAAAACCCTTTTCATCCACTTTATAGAAATTAAATCTCAGTCATAGCCTTTTTGCCTTGTCAACACATCTTACTTAAATACAGACATGCAGATCAGACATGCTCTGCCTGAGAGCTCACAGAAGTTATGGGCCAATTAATCCAAAGGATAAGGTTACTGTGCCTATTATCTTTTGCATCTATGATAAGACACTAGAATATCAGAATAATCCTCTTTTTTCCAGACCCCTCAGGGCACAATTTCCAGCCAGAGCCTGAGACCATGGAACTGCTCAATATTATCATGTGCTCAAATACCATTGCTATATGCTGTAAATGTTAATTGTAAACTATCCTATACCCAACAATGTAAAAGTAGTGTTTATCTCTTCCTTTTACTCTTTTTTTTTTAAATATGTTTTTTTGATTTTTTAGAGAGGAAGGGAGAGGGAGAAAGAGAAACATCTGCTGCCTCCTGCACACCCCTCGCTGGGGACTGAGCCCTGAGGGAGAATCAAACTGGTGACCTCTGGGTGCTTGGGGTGACCCTCAGCCAACTGCGCCACACCAGCCAGGCTCTTCCATTTATTCTTTATCCAATCTCAGATATTTCTTTGCTTTGCTTTCTTCCGCCTGCCTAACCTACTTTAGGGCCTCCTCCATTGATTGCAATGTATAAGATAAACTGCAAAACTGCCATTTTTCAGAGCATTATCTCAATCCTTTGAGATGTTGCCTCCAGGCAATTGTTGTCTATTCGCTTCAGATAAATTCATAAAACTTCTCTACAGGTTTGGACATTTCTTAAATCAACAGGGTTTAAATACAGTCTGGGTTTCAGCCTGTGTTTTATTTTTATTTTATTATTTTTCCTTTTTTTTTTTAAATATAACTTTATTGATTTCAGAGAGAGGAAGGAAGAGGGATAGAGAGAGAGAAACATCAATGATGAGAGAGTCATTGGTCGGCTTGCTTCCTGCACACTCCCAACTGGGGATGGAGCCTGCAACCTGGGCAAGTGCCCTGACCCGGAATGGAACCGCGATCTCCTGGATCCTAGGCCGATGCTCAACCACTGAGCCATGCCCGGCAGGGCCAGCCTGTGTTTTAATCACAACCCACTTTATTACCACTCCAGTCGCCGCATCTCAGGCCTAAAGCTACCGGAGTAGCCCCTTAA